TTTCTTCGTTATTATCAACATCTACCTCGTTGATATCTGTCTGGTATGTAGATTATTTTGCACACGTCAATTTTGGTTTTCCTGTAGTAGCACTATAAAATCTTTAGTTATAATTTTAAAATCCTTTAAAATTTTCTCTAAATTTTAAATTTAAAATTTAAAATTGTTAGGGTTACTCGCCCTATGTCTAAAGTGCTGCAGCGGCTAGTTCTTGTTTCCGCACTGTACAGGTGTTATTCTGTGTAGTCTTCCTGTGTAATATAATATTGAAATTAATATATATAAAATTACATTTTATCTACATACATGTTTCCTGCTGTGGGGGTAGTCACTGAATTGGGTAAAAACAATAAATTTAATCATTTTTAATATTATTGTAAAAGTTGGTGTAGTTTATCAACTGCTAATGTGGTTAGGTATTAGACCCAATTCATGAAGATACATCTGTTCATTTTTACTGGATTAGAGTCTTGAGGATTCTGCTGCATGAAGCTAGTTACTAGTAATTGGTGATTGGTTGTAATTGTTTTTTCAAAGTAGCATCTTGTGTTCTCTATATGATTGGCCTGTTTCATATGAAACTTAAATTGTGTGTGTCAGAATCACTGGAATTAATTTCAATTAAATACCCTCACAGAACAATGTCATAAAGTTTATTATGGCCATTTTTAAAAGTATTAATCTAAGAACTTTGTTAAGTATGGACCGTCTGGTTGACAGAAGTTCTATAAAGTACCTGGTCTTGAAGTATTTAGTGCTCTCCATGCTTATATGTTTGTCACGGCTCCAGAACACTCTACTGGCCGCTTCACAGATTCCATAATTGGTGTGTTCAGATGGACTAAAAATTTACTCACAATGATTCTCTCTTGACTCCCTGTTATGGATTAATAGCATATTTTAGAGCCTACCTTGGCTATTTATTTAATACAGTTATGTATCATGTGTTTTCCCTCAAAAAAAAAAAAAGATGTTTCCCCCAAAAAGTATTTTTTGAAATGAAAGCAGCTTTGGTTTTTCCACATATGGTTTGCTGGAACCACAGAAACCAAACTGACCCGTGGTTCATTTCTGACAGTGAAGGGTGCAAAGTCATGTATGCATATGTTGGTTTTTGTTCCATGTGCATTGAAAAATTTAACAAAAATGACCTCTGAATAAGTACAGCTGAAGAGTTAACAGACAGGGACTGTTTTCCGCAAAGTTGGTGCTCATTTGTTAGATGATGATGAGTAAGAAACATCATCATCAATTTTTAGACATACTTCATGAAGGTCTGTTACCACTTTTTCATGTAAGTTTATATTAAATGTTTTTGTCCACTATTACATAGAATGAATAGTCAAAAGAACTGGCTAGACATTTTCTCTCTCTCTCTTTGTTGTGGGGGGTGGGGGCAGGCTATGTAATGAAGTCAGAATATTTGTTTTATATACTCAGGTTTATTGATATTAATGATGACAAAAATAAATGTGACTGCCTTAAGATCATGACAGCACTGAATTCAAAATATGTTTATGTGTAAACTAAGTAGTGTGTCTGATCTTGATGTTCAAATTTGCTCTTTCCTTTCTTCCTTTAGGGTTGAAATCACTTTTATCTTGAAGAATGAACCAGTGAAGTTCCTCTGAAACATCAGTACATTTCTATCATGTTTAAATGGCCGTATACATGTATACTGGGGGCGTGTAAGTTTGACAGCCTCACTGCCATCTGTTAGCCATTTATCTAAAAAATGTGGGAGTCTCGATGTCTCACAACCCCATGGAACTCCATAGCCTGTTAAAGGGATAGCTTTATTACTAGACATTGCCCATTGCCTGGAATTGCTCTTTCTGATGGTCCAACTGAGCCCTGATTATGAAAACAGATTCAGTTTCCAAAATGTTCTGCATGTCATTTATATCCCAGATGGAGGACATTTTCCAATATAATATTTTTATAATGAATCAACCTTTTTCACAATACTTGTTAAACAGAAAGCTGAAGAAAGCAGTCTTCTGGGATTTGGCACCGTGTATATATGGTGTTAACCGACGTTTCAGAGGAACGTATCGCCCCCATCTTCAGGGTAGAAGAAAAAGTATAAGAATTCTGCACCGTCTGCTTTACCGTTTCTCACGGTGTTGTCGCTTGCAGAATTCTTATACTTTTTCTTCTACCCTGAAGATGGGGGCGATACGTTCCTCCGAAACGTCGGTTAACACCACATATACACGGTGCCAAATCCCAGAAGACTGCTTTCTTCATAGTCACCGCCGTGAAAGCCTCAAATCTTACAAACAGAAAGCTGTTGTGAGAAAGTGATACTGTTTCACAGATTTGGCCATAGGACTCCTCCAGTTTGTCTCAGCCCCTCCCTCAGAGAGTAATATAATCTGACAATTTATAAGCTCCTACAATACAGGAAGTAATGGAAGTTCTGCTGAATAAACAGCATCAAAATGTGTATCAAGTGATTGTGTTCAAGAGACCAGTACTTTTGGATGTTGGAATTTGAACCCTTAATATGCAGATCATTATAAATACAAAAGTAAAAAATAAAGGAGATTTTAGGTGGCTTCAATAGTGACGTTGGCAGCATTGAAGAAATTGCAAGAACCTTCCCTCATTTGCATATAATTGGTTTTTGTTGAATAGTGGTAAAACTATAACATGTTTAACATAATTGCTTCATTGTTGGAATGCATCAAAAAACAAAAATGACCTGTGATTCAGTTTTTATGGTCAGGGGGTTTAAAACTAGTGAAATTTATGAAAGACTGGTTGTTTAGTATGTTATAATTGTATGAGTTTGAGGACAGTTTAATGATAGAATTCAAAGGAGGGTAAATGAGCTTTATGATTGATGTGTGTTCTGGGTGGTCATTTACAATGCTTTGAGTTATGGGGTTAAGGAGCAGATTGATCAGTGCATAAAGGACAATCAAGGAATCAACATTCATGAAGTTTCATTTGAAGTTAGCATCAGTTGTGGAATGAATTTATATGAGAATATTTTAAATTGCACCCAAAAAATGTTATTCTGATGGAAATGGGAAGTATGTGCACCATTAGACCAAATGCATTGAAAAGCAGGGCAGTTACATATAAAAGTAAGATACAGGATATGCAATCGAACTATACCGACCGATCGACCGCCGCTTGTTGGTGAAGTTTAGTGCCAACTAACAATAACTAACAATAGTATAATTATGTAGTAAAAATTATCCTTTGTAGGTATCCCGTGTTTTATTGTAACTCACCCCAGTCCAAGACAAGGTATAATGTAAGATTTAGTAGAGCTTATAATGTTACTTCCTGATTTGGAAGTGTTTTGCTTGTGTGCATCTTTATCTCTTATTTGAAGAAAGAAAGAAAAAACAGCTGAGTTTAGTGTTTGTATTGTTGTTTTTGTTAGTGTTTTACTTTTACAGAGGTGCTGAAGCAAGGCCAGGAAGGTTTGCAGGACACTGTAAGGCAGCTAGAGTCTGACCAAAAGGCGGCACTGCTCAAGAATGCCACAGTGTGGAACTGCAATAGCAAGAATTGTCATCCTGCTCAGGTCAGGCAGTTGTTAGCCTGTTCTGTGCTAAGTGAAGCATTCAATAGAGCAGATGTTTTAAACTGTGGTGATACAGAATTTGGATTGCAATAGGCTGGGTCACACTAGTGCAGAGGGCACAGAAATGTCAAGAAGGAGAGAAAATCCAAAACAAAGACATTGCAACACTTGTCACAGCTTAAAGCAGTTAGCTAATATTTCTTTTTTGATTCTGTGGTGTAATATATTCCATTAAAATTTTGTTATATTTTTGTTTGTGTGTAGGGTATTTTATAAAGTGGCATTGGGCAGTTAGTTTAAAATTGGTTGATTGAAGTGTGACGAAGAAAGGAAATGTAAGAAATTAATTTAAATGAAACTGGTAAATACAGAATAAATAATAAAGCTTAAGAAATCCAGTTATACAAGTCTCAATAGAACAAATGAACGTGTCTCCTTTTGTGTGTAGTTAATGTGGGTGTGTATAATGCAATAGTGAACTGGGATAGATCGGGTATAATGACAGGCTAGGGGTTGAATGGCTCGGTTTCATTCCTGGTAGGGGAAAAGAGATTTGTCTGTACTTCAGCACTCAGACCGGCTCTGGGCCCTACCCAGCCTCCTATCCAATGGGTACCAGGGGCTCTTTCCCAGGTGTAAAGCGGCTGAGGCATGAAGCTGACCACTCACCCCCATCTAGTGCTGAGGGGAATGGGGATGTAGGCATTCTGGATGCCAAAGGTGCATTTATGAAAGTATATAGAACTGTTTAAAATACATATTTATTTGCATAAACAGTGTCTTTTGAATGTTTATAAATTTTTCAGTTAATGTTCTTGCCTCAGTGGCAACTACATTCATGCAAAAGGAGACTTCTGTCATGCAAATGTTCAGGCGTAGTAGGTGTAACAGGAGAACAGATATGGAACAGCCTAATGTTCAGGGTTACATCAGGACACATGCAGTTCTGTGTGAGCGTGAGCCTTCTGTTCATAATGACAATGTGTTCGGTAAATTGTGACATGTTCTCATTTTGTAAGGTATCAGCAGTTGAAGATAATGTGTTTGATCTGGTAGCACAAACCCCCCACAATAATATTGCTTTATGTGTATTTCCTAGCTTTTTTTGTAGTGTATGTGTTTCTTCTTCAGCACCAGCTACAGAAGGTGTTTGAAATGTCTGAACACACCATATTTTCTTTGTATAGGACACAATTTTTTATCTTCAAAAATTGTCTTAAAAATCACAGTGTAGCTTATAAATTGGTGCAGTATAGAAAAAAAAATTAATTTCTCTTTCCTGAACAATTTTGCATCTTGTACACTAGTGTGTCTTATTCACCAGAAAATACAACAAGTTTTAAGTGAGTGTTGACTTTGAAAAAGCAACTATTGACTTTTGCAGCTAGTGATCTCTATCTTGCTGGATGACTTATCAAGTGGGGATCTCAAGATACAAGCATTTTCTAACATGCTAGAGGGAACTCTGCCCTACACAGAACGCCACTTCAAGAGACTGACACAACTGTTGCAAGACTTACATCTCCTGCAGTTTACAGCAGCTTGCATGCAACCTCAGCTCCAAGGAGGAGGTAGTGTGTTAAAATAGTGGTAAGTATTTCACGCTTTGTCTGTTTGTTACTTCACTTTATGGTGAAACGAACACCATAGACTTCTGAAAACTCATTTCCAAAAAAACAGGATTGAAGGTTTTAAAAACTGATATCTAACAAATTCAGTATATTACATTGCTAATGTTTTCTTTTTTCAAACTGACAATTAAAGTTGTATAAGTATTTTTATTTAGAAAGAATATTGAATGGATTCATGTTTCATCATTATGTGACCCAATATTCAGTGGAATGCCAGTACATGGCACTGCAGAAGGTTATGTAACTTTTCTTATGACCGTATCAGAAACAGATCATGTAGATTTGTAATTTTATGTGTGGGCTGGGATAGCTTGATCAGTATAGTGACTGGCTAGTGGCCTCCGTAGTCTAGGGGTAACGTTCCCACTTCATGACTCAAGGTACGCGGGTTCAGACCTGGCGGTTTGGTGTGAAAGTCTTCATGATATTATTAAAAGGTTAATGTGTGATGGACTGTGATGAAGAAAAAAACGTTATCTGTCCCATTCTTTTTGAAGAATCTGCAGTGACTGGTGAAAAGTTTGTATCTATGATAGAGGATACTGGTTTGTGTCATGTTCTTGCCTGAGCAGTCTTCCAGTTAATGGTGCACCACCTCACTTCTTCCGCTGTGTTCATGCCTCTCTCTTCAGGGAGTTTCCTTATCATTGGAGGTGAAGAGAAGGCCAAATTCTCTGACGCACTCATTATGTAGATCGTATTCCCTTAGATGTTTTCTTTTGGAGGTGTCTGAAGGACATTGTTGTTGAGAAATGGTGAATGCTGTGAAAGAATTGGTAGGGATATGGAGTATGTTAAATGAAATACTACCCAGCACCTGGTGAGAAACTGAATATCACTTTGAAGTGTGTCTTACCATTAATTGCGCCATATTGAGATTGACCGAGCACATAATAAACTTTGTGAGGTTTACTGTTTGAAAATATATCAATTTCTCCCATGCACTTAGTGACCACAGCTATGTAATGTTTTGTTGTTGACATGTATGGGTGGATGTGCCATATTATCATCACTGATTTACTATAGTGAATTCTGGATTGTTCATCAGTTATATTAGTTGTAACAATTGACATATGTATATAGACATTGAAAGCCTCATTTAAAGTTTATTTGGGGAGAAACTTAAAACACTTAATATATTGAGTTGGGACTGCTGAAATTTAATATTAAATAAGGAAGAGTCTTATTTCAGTGTTTTCAATGAATACATATTCATGCACTCTCCTGCACACATACACACACTATAAAATACAATTTTATTTATATAGATTTATGTAATCCAGCATATATTGTCTAAATCCTAGATAACATAAGGGGTATTTGTCATGACAGTTTTTTTTTATTGAAGCCTTCCAGTTTCAAATATTTTGTTGAAAGACTGTTCCTCAGTTGTTAAATTTGTATTAAAATTAGTGATCTGGAATTACACATTCTTCAGTTTTCTTCTTTCTAATGGAAAGTTATGCTAGAAAATGTTAAAATGATGAAATCATTAAAGATGCCTAAGACTTAGATGAAATATACTGAGTTAAGCAAAAACTTGATATAAAGCTGAATTTGATGGTTATATCAATAATGTATCAGAGCTTGGTCCATGTGTTCACCGTGCCTTTGTTTTAGCCACATCTTTTTTCATACACAGCCTTTGCAGTTGTCTTCATCAGACTCATAATGGTGGTGATGGTGGTCGTGGTGGGGGGGAGGAGGTGGCAGCGGCAGTTTGTTATCATCACAGTTGTCATCGTCATCATCAGCAGCATCACTGCCGCCTCCACCGCCATCATCTTCCGTATCAGCGTCATCTGACCTGTCATAATGGTTGCTTGCAGAGTGGGCATTGTCCAAACTGAATGATGCACTTGCGAAGGCACTGCCCATGGAAGATATGTGAACAAGGGGTAATGCGGGCAGCGAACAGATGCATGTCATCCAGACAGACTGGGCAGGCTGTGTCTCCTCGCTCTGTCATCTGTTGCAATGTGGCCAGTGGGAAGGGTGCGATTACAGCTCGCTGTGCTGCAAGAGGACTCCAGTATTTATCCAATACTTGCAGCCCACATGCGCAGACATTGGCGTACCTTCAGACACAGGAATGTGAATTAATGTATGGCATTTTGTACATTTTGAATACTATAGTTAAGAGGGGGGTGATGAGAGGGTGTGGACTGGATTCATTTGGTTCATAGGAAACAATGGCAGGGCATTGTGGGCATACTAATAAGCCTTTTGATTCTGTAAAATGTTGGAAATTTCTAGCTGAGCTACTGTTAGCCCCTGAAGAAGGACTCTTCTCCATGGTATTTGTTTAGGAAATATTTAAGATGGGAGTCAGGACTGGAACGATGAGAATGTTATGTATGCAGAAGTCCACAGAATTATATCATTATTACATTAATGTGAATATTTGTAACAATGGCTAAATTTAATTCCAATTTTATTTTGCTTTATGGATTTATCCATATATCTTACCCAACAATGATACACAGGATCCAGTAATTTAACTGCCATATCGCTGCTAGTACGAGTGTAGCTGAGAGTGCAACTGTGCTGCTATAGATGACAAGAGGAACCCAAAACTCCTCAAATCCTTCAAGTACCTGGAACCCCAGATTTCTCACTGCAGAGACGATAAATGTCTCCTCTCCAGCTGTTCCTGTAGAAGTATGAGTAACATGCACATTGTTTTCAAGGAAATGGTCCATAATTTTAATATATCAGAAATTCCTTTTTAGTCTACATTCTCTAAATTGTTAGGAGAGATGGGCATTTGATATATCAATATCTCCCCACCTACATTTGTAATTTCTGTTGTTTCCTAACCATCTACAGTATCAGTATGGCAGCTGGTTAAGCTTCTGAAATGGAAGCAAGATTAATGTTGCCTAAAAACTGTAGGTGTAATCAATCTTGAAAAAAATATGCAAGAGAAGTATGATTGAATGGAGGTATAGCTTGGATGGCAGAAACAAGAAATCTGTAAACTGTTGTTGAAGAAATCTCTTAGGCCCCCCATACACACACAGTTTGGCCTTCCGATCGACCTTACAGGCAAACATTTCACAGTTTACCCCCTCCCTTTCCTTCCCCGTACACCGGCAGGCTTCATGCCGCAGTCACGGTCTTCCAGCCTCTATTGCTGAATCACACACGTCATGTGCTATGGTCCTGCAGGTAGAACTGACAGACTGACAGGTTTCCCAAAGGCCAACAGTCCAAACAATTGGCCAGCCGGCCGCACCACACATGTCAGTTTTGCCTTTCAGTCTTCAACTGTGCAGGCTGAACTGGAGGCCAAACTGTGTGTGTATGGGGGCCCTTATAGGGCTAGGAGGGTGGGAGGAAGGCTGATGGTAAAATAAACTGTAAAGAAATAATTTGTAAGGATGTGAACTGGCTTGAGTTTGGATATATGGTAGACTTCCTGTTAATAGTATGTAACTGAGGTAATTACAAAATTCTATTTCTCATGTTACGGAAAGAACAAGTTCCGGCATAACAAAATGTTGGCGAGAGTATTTGGGCTTGAGGGACAAGAATTAACTAGGAAAGACAGAAAATTACTTCTTAACCATTTGTGGCATGAATTTCTACTAAATAGTATATAAAGAGGTTGGCGTAACTTACCAAATGGTGTCCAAATAGAGAATGAGTTACAGATACTCCAGTCCCTTGAAGTTAAAAGCACAAATGACTTAACTGTCAAAAGTGTGGCGGCACTAGAAATCAACCAACCAACTGTCCAACCATATTTAAAAATTAAATTCCACCCTTTACAGGATCTACAGTGCACTTCCATTTTAAAGATCATTTGACTAATGTGATTCTGAGAATAGCATGAACCAGAAATAGAGTCTGTGGACAAAATGCAGAGGACTTTTAATTTTGAAGTAAGTGTTACATATTGTACACACTATTTTTTAAGTTGGTTATTTAATGATACCTTCAGCATTGAGACTGTGTTAGATGACAGGATGACTGTGAATCATAAATTTAAGATTTATTTGCAGCAAGTAAAAACTCCATGGCTTTAGTCTGCAAGTGAACTATACCGACTGAGCAACCACACTTATTGGCGAAGTTAGTGCCAACTTTAGCTGATAGAGGTGTCGCATGGTCAGTGCAACAAATCCCCACAGCTGTTAATTTCGGTTTTCTAGACCAGATATGGCAGGAAGTAACCTTGGTCTAATTGAGTTACTGTCCCAGCATTTGCCTAGAGGGACTGAGGAAAATATGGAAAATCTCAGTTGGGATAGCAAGTATTCAGGCTGAGATTCAAATCTATTTCCTCCGAAATATGAGTATAGTTTGTTACCACTAGAACAACAAGTTTGGTACTCTTCTTTGAAAGGTTAAGCAACATCAGTGTGTCCAACAGTTCTTGTATTGTTTTATGTGTATCGGTTGCTGCAGGAATGTGATTACTGAACCCTTGCCTAGCAATGATGGGATGTTACACATGCAGTCAGACAGGTCTCTTCTGGCTCCACTATTTTGGCATTTAGGTTTTAGGGTTTATACAAAGAGACACAGACGTAAGGTGATTTCATAATTCTCCTTTAATTTTTTTCAAAATAAGGGAAATAGGCTAAAAACATACCTTTATACTGAGAGAGGATGAAGTATACAAGTGTGAGGGCCACATAACTGTATGTGGGCTCCAGGTGATTGAACTGCAAGGTGAATGTCAGCAGAACCATGCTCATGGCCATGCCTTTGCCGAGTCTGACAATGATGAATGCTGTAGTCAGTTTGATGAAATCTGTTGTTGAATTTTCATGTAGCAGCTGTGACCAGTGACGAGTCTGCCAATAGAACAGTAGTAGCATCTTAATTCACTTTTTGAAACATAAAATGATCATTCAATTGGAGGTCTCATAATGCAGTGGATTTCCCATTTCGTGTCCCTTGATTTAAAATTTTCCCACATGTAACATTCAATTTCATCAATCCCATACCGTTTACCTCAGTGCTAAATTTACTCAGTTTAAGATTTTACCTGTTACAGCACTCCTCAAAGAAACCCTTATTGTGTTCACCATAGTAAGTTATTGCTCAAAACAAGTTGGAGGGGGAAGAAACATCATTTTGTCACATAGCCATCCATATCAAGACTTGAAAGCTTTGAGTTAACTGAATAGTAATCGTTACCCATTGACATTTTTACCAGGTTGGGTTGCTTTGTATTTATGCAAAAAGGAAATACAAAACAGAATAACTAATGTAAAAGTGACCAAAATAGAACAAAGGAAAATAAAAGCAAAGGCGCAAAACCTCTTCAGTCTTCTCTATCCTGTTGTAAGTGCTTCACTTATATCTGTCTATGCTCTCCCTTTGTCTTTTTATTTCTTTATGGCATGTTCCTTTGTTTGACCCACATAGTCATAGATATTTCCATTTGTCATTTCATGTTCTCGTTTTGCTGAATTCAAAGTAATCCTATTATCCAGGCACAACACGTGTTCATACCACAGGCCAGGGCCCATTGGGGCTGTAGAGCCAGTGAAAAAATAAATCTGTTACAGCTTGGCAGCATTTATCAGGTATATTTATTCTGTCTGTTAATTTTCTTAATTGAATTTACCATTTGATGACATTTTACTACCTAAATAATAAAAGCTTTCAAAATGAAAGTAACTGTCGTGGAGATCACTGTGTGATGATAAAATTCACAGCTTCCTGCAGTATAATGGCATGATTTTGTGATTTCAATAACTGTATGTCCACAGCAGTTCATTATGTGTAGTAGTGTAGAAAGGAAATATGTATATATCCATATTAATGGAGGATTCTTACTTTGTTGACTGGTTCCATGGCTCTTTGCTTCATGGCAAGTGGCGTATCATTTACTGTGAGGTGCATATGAATTTTGCTGATGAATCAGCATGTCTGATGGCTGATAACACTTGGAATGAAGTAATTACAATTCAGAGATCACAGGAAGTGTTGAAAATGCTATCCCTCCATACGTAGATATTACGTACAGTTGTTTTGTTAAAAGCAGATACAACTATCCTTGCACTTACAGCACACCAGAAACCAACTTTCACTGGATGGAGCAGGACTTAATGGGTTAAATGTGGATTCTGTGAGTTCTAGTAGCGATTATTTTGTGTATTTATGTATCCTTGCTAGTGGATTCATGCTTCATCAGAGAAGAATGTTAGTTGTGTATCAATATCGCCTTTGATGACAGACTTTAGAAACCAACTGCAAGAATGAACGCTGCTAGCTGGATTGTATGACTGCAAGACATGCATTTATTACTGTTGTTTTATAGGGTTTAAGTTTTCGCAGTTGTGTTGCTGTTCTTGCACTAGACTTGGACACTACAGCCTCTCAAGCTAGACGTTTCAGTGATTTTCTATGTGTATGTTCAAGTGTGGCTTCTATGTCATCTGTTAAAAGAGTCCAGTTGTTTTAAGTTTATTCACCAAATTATGAATTGTTTGTCTGTTGGGAACTCTTTAATCATAAAATTTATGTCAAAAGTTTTGTGACACTTGGTAGCCGATCCGTACTTCACACAGGTGTCATACATAAATACACGTTGCTCTAAAGTGTACCTCACCATGACACACCACACTTCTCACCAACTGTAACTGAGAACAAATGGCTAATGGAGCTGATAACTGTTGCCTACTGCTGACAAATCATAAACACACTCACATGCATGAACTGCACTGCTTGCCCTGGAACATAATTCCATCAAGTGGTCCACAAGTTAATTACTTCCCTGCATTCCAAATGTTATCGGCCCTCAAGCATGTTGATTTATCACCAGAATTGTGGCAAGTGACGCAGTGGTTGTCATGATATGCAGAGCCATGAACCGGTCAACAAAGTTAAAAGACTATGTAAAACAGTCTAGTCTGATAGATAGTTACCAATGTTTTTACCCTGAACATAGAGGTAGGATGTTTCTCTGAAACAATGGTGTATACCTACCAGACTACATAGCATAACATCCCAGAAGACAGGAACATTCAAGTCCAGAATATCTGTATCTGTCACTATATTCTTGGATGGGATGGTCTGGACTGGATTGATGTGGTTCAGGATAGGGACCAACGGAGAGCCCTTGTGAACATGATAATGAACTTTTGGGTTCCATGAAATGCTGGGAAGTTCTTGAGAAGTTGCACAGTTGGTGGCTTCTCGAGAAGTGCTTAGCTCCATGAGTGAGTGAGAGATATTCTTGGATATACAGCAGTTATAATGTTATAAGTGCATGTCTGAATTATCCAGGAGCTGTGGCTGAAATAATAACTGATTACAATGAACATGAAGGAGGAGAGTTTTTGAGCAGTGATATTTGATCAGCTGGTCAAGAAATTCCCTACCTTTTATGGAAACAGAAGGTACATACTATATTTGGCCAGTAGGGACAGTAATGATCCAAGACTAAAAAGTCACTACAAAATATACTGTAAAATTTTGTCAAAAGTCATTAAAGAAGCCAAACAGAATAACTATAACAGCCAAATTCTAAAATCAAACAATAAAATTAAAACCACCTGGGATATTGTGAAAGTTGAATCAGGAAAGAAATCTGTTAATGAAGACGTACAAAGTTTGAATATTGAAGGGAAGTCCACTAACAATGCACAAGCTATCGCAAGTGCATTTAATGAATATTTCCTTTCATTAGCTGAGAAAACATATTCCAATAATAATAATAATAATAAT